TTCCCAGACTTGAGCTGGTTTACAGACCTCAGTACCCTTTAAATAAAGAAGAGGCTACATCCCCGACAGAAAGGACACTGGTACACCAGCCAAAGTTTATAGAGTTAATCTTTCTCCAGACTTCACCAAAGGGACCTACAACCTTTTAGCAGGGTAACTGTGCACTGGGGAAAAAGAAATAATCAGACCATTTGGGGACTACTGGATGCTGGCTCTGAACTGACATTAATTCCAGGAGATCAAACATCACTGTGGTCTACCAGTTACAGAAGGGGCTTATGGAAGTCAGGTGATTGAAGGAGTTTTATCTCAAGTTTGTCTCACAGTGGGCCCAGTGGGTCCCCAAACCCATCCTATGGTTATTTCCCTAGTCCTGGAATGAGGAATTAGAATAGATACACTGAGGGATTTCCCTGGTGGTCCAGTGGTAAAGAATCCACCTTCCGGGCTTCCCTGGTGGCGCAGTGGTTGAGAGTCCGCCTGCCGATGCAGGGGACACGGGTTCGGGCCCCGGTCCGGGAAGATCCCACAGGCCGTGGAGCGGCTGGGCCCATGAGCCATGGCTGCTGAGCCTGCGTGTCCGGAGCCTGTGCTCCGCGGTGGGAGAGGCCACACGGGAGAGGCCACAATAGTGAGAGGGCCCCGGAACAAAAAAAAAAAAAAAAAAAAAGAATCCACCTTCCAATGCAGGGGACACAGGTTCGATCCCCGGTGGGGGAACTAATAACCCACATGCCGCGGGGCAACTAAGCCCACGTGCCGCAAACACAGAACCCGTGCGTCCTAGAGCCCACACGCCACAACTAGAGAACCCACACGCTGCAACGAAAGATCCCGTATGCCGCAACTAAGACCCGACACAGTCTCCCCCACCCCCACCCCACCCCCAAAAAAGAATAGATACACTGAGCTCCTGGCAGAATCACCACATTGGTTCCTTGATCTGTGGAGTGAGGACTAGTATGGTGGTAAAGGTCAAGTGGAAGCCAGTAGAACTGCCTCTACCTAGGAAAATAGTAAACCAAAAGCAATACCGTATTCCTGGAGGGATTGCAGAGATTAGTGCCACCACAGCCCCACTCAACTTGCCTGTTGGCCGGTGCAGAAGGCAGACAGATTTTGGAGAATGACAGTGGATTTTACTCTAAGCTTGACCAGTTGGTGACTTCAACTGCAGCTGCTGGACCAGATGTGGTTTTTATTGGTTGGACACATTAATATAGCCCCTGGTACCTAGTATGCAACTATTGATCTGACAAATGCTTTTTTTCTTGATACCTGTTAGTAAAGACCACCAGAAGCAGTTTGTTTTCAGCTGGCAAGGCCAGCAGTACACCTTCACAATCCTACATCAGGGCTAAATCAACCCTGCAACCCTATGTCATAATTAGTTTGCAAGAATCTTAATCACCTTTTTCTTTCACATCATATCACACTGGTCCACTGGTCCATTACATTGACAACATTATGCTGATCGGACGTAGTGTGCAAAAAGTAGCAACTACTCAACTTATTGGTAAGACATTTGTGTGTCAGAAGGTGGGAAATAAATCTGAGAAAAATTCAGCGACATTTCTTCTTCCATGTCAGTGAAATTTCTAGGAGGTCCAGAGGTATGGGGTATGTTGAAATATCCCTTCTAAGGTGAAGGATAAATTGTTGCATCTGGCCCCTCCTACAAACAAAAAAAGAAGTCTAATACCTAGAGGGCCCATTTGGATTTTGGAGGCAACATACTCCTCATTTGGCTGTGTTACTACATCCCAAGTGGTAGCAGCAGATAGGAATGCTGTTTGGAGCCTTCGGCAGGGCCCTATAGGGAAATCACAGCACAGGTCCTCATGATTTTGGAACAAAGCCCTATCACCCTCTGCAGATAACTACTCACCTTTTGAGAAACAGCTCTTGGCCTGCTACTGGACCTTAGTAGAGACTGAATGCTTAACTATGGGTCACCAAGTTACCATGCAAGCTGCTCATTGTGAACTGAGTGTCATCTGGTCCACCAGACCGTAAAGTTGGGTGTGCATAGCAGCATTCCACCATCAAATGGAAGTGGACTATATATACATGATAGGGCTGAGCAGGCCTTGAGGCACAAGTGAGTTACATGAAGAAGTGGCCCAAATGCCCATGGTCCCCATTCCTGCTACATTGCCTTCTCTCACCTAGCCTCCATCTGTGACTTCATGGGGAGTTAAATCAGGAAGAGGGCCCTTACTGGACACTGAATCTGCCTGCACTGTGACCCTGGACTTCCCAGCCTCCAGAACTGTGAGAAATAAATGTTTGCTTAAGCTGCCCAGTCCATGGCCTCTGTCATAGCTGCCCAAGCTGACTAAGACAGAAATAGTAGTTTGCCAATCCCTAATCTAGCATTCAGATGAGCACTGTCCAATAGAACTTTCTGTAATAATAGAAATGTTCTATATCTACACTGTATAATATAGTTGCCACTAGCCACATATGGTGATTGAGCACTTGAAGTGTGACTAGTGTAACAAAGGAGCAAAAATTTTAATCTATCCTTTTTCATTCCTGGAACCTTTTACCATTTCTTTAAGGATTAATACGGTTTCCCAACTAGTTTCCCTGTCTCCAGTGTTCCTTTCCTCCAATCCATCCTTGCTAGAGGGATTTTTCTAAAATATACGATGCTGGCACTTCTCCAAAGCAACGTTTCCTGGAAACTTTAGAAAGAAGTTCAGCCTGTTAGCATGACACATAAATCTCTTCATTAGGAAATCACAAAGAGGTAAAACACCTTCCTCTGTTTCATCAGATAAGTGATGATAAATTTCTTGAGGGTAGTCCTTTATCATACTTTGTCTCCACTAACATTTCACACAGTGGCTTGCTGAATGATGCAGGAACGAAAACTTGATTTTGCCCATGGAAAGCTTAAGTTAGAACCCCATTTCTAGAGTCACCACAGGCATTTAATCACCCTGAGCCTCATTATATTTCTTTTTTTAAAAATAAATTTATTTATTTTATTTATTTAATTTTGGCTGTGTTGGGTCTTCATTGCTGTGCACGGGCTTTCTCTAATTGCAGCGAGCGGGGGTTACTCTTCATTGCGGTGCACAGGCTTCTCATTGTGGTGGCTTCTCTTGTTGCAGAACATGGGCTCTAGGCAGGCGGGCCTCAGTAGTTGCAGCACGCGGGCTCAGTAGTTGTGGCTTGCGGGCTCTAGAGCACAGGCTCAGTAGTTGTGACGCATGGGCTTAGTTGCCCTGAGGCATGTGGGATCTTCGCAGACCAGGGCTCGAACCCATGTCCCCTGCATTGGCAGGCGGATTCTCAACCACTGCACCACCAGGGAAGCCCGAGCCTCATTATATTTCTGTGCTAAATGAAAATGATAACTAGGATTGTTGTGATGATCAAATGAGTTTGTGGAAATCCTCTGCTTTTAGTAAAAGGCTATATAAATGCTAGTTGTTGTTATAATAAATATTGGGTTTTGAAATGTTTCTAAAAAGCAGTACTGGGGATTCTCTGGAGGTCCAGTGGTTAGGACTTGGCACTCTCATTGCCGGCACTGGGTTCCACTGTGTTTTACTAAACAAAAATGTCAGCAATACCAATAGACAGTTGATTTTTTTTTTTTTTGGCCATGCAGCATGCAGGATCTTAGTTCCCCAACCGGGGATCAAACCCACACCCCTTGCATTGGAAGAGTGGACTCTTAACCACTGGACCACCAAGGAAGTCCCAACAGTTGATTCTTGAGAGTTAAATGACAATGGCATCATATGAGTAGCTCAGAAAAGAAAGAAAAAATAGTAATATCTTATTTTTAAGCATCTACAGGGACTTTTCAAAGGGGACTTTCTCAGTGAGCTCTCCTAGGAGTAGGAGGAAGGGCACTGCTTTAGATAAGAAAATAAGGTAAAGAAACAATGTTAACATATAGGGAGAAGTGGTAAAGGACAATTTACCTTACATAGGCAGTGGTCTCTTACCTTCCCTAGGGACGTCCTGATCACAGGATTTATAAGATTAAGTATACTTCTCATTAGACCATATTACACTTTGCGATGAATTTATATCACTAATTCATTTCTCAGTTCTTGAAATGAGACTCCACCATCTTAAAAAGTGGAAAAAGAAGGCATTGTTTGTGATCAGTATGCTGTTTTTGGTGAAGGACAGTAAAGATTTATTATTCCTTGAACTTAAGGTTGCCAACGCGCTTGATGGATCTGTGTCAGATCACTTAGAATGTGTGGCTATCTCTGGAAAACCCACTTCACTCTCCAGATTAAGATTTGTTGGAAGACAGGGACTTGTTTCACTCAAAGTTGCATGTTTGTCTCATACTGCTTCAGATTAGTTGCCATACGCATAGAATATAGTAAATTACATTAGCAAACTGGTGGCCATTCCTGCTTGTTCCCTGCGGTATGCAAGTTTGCAATCTCCACTGATCACTCTGTAAATTCATGTCAAACACACGAATGATATTCATAGGGTAATCATGACGATTCCTTAACCGTCCACCTTATGGGGATCTAGAACACTGTCTTTGAGCCCAAGAGAGGAATTGCCGGTTCCATCCCCAAACTGCCATGCGCCCCAGGTAACAAACCCTGCAGCTACCATGGCATTTCCTTTCACTCTGACACCTCATCATCCAATCCTCGTGGTATTCTCTTCCATCTCACTCTTTGCAGTTCACATAGGCTTTGATATATTTTAGATGTTCTTAAAAATTTTAACAGTCTAATCAGAACTTTTCATATCTTAGTTACAGACACCCTCCCCAAGAGGAAGAAGACCCTAGGCAAAAGAAAGCGAGCGCTGGGGAAGGTGAGACACTGGTATCTAAACTGGAATCCTGGTCACTTTCCACAGCAAACAAGGCTTGTACTGGGAGGGGGGATTGGAAGACGAGGACCCCACGTGACCTCGGGGGCCCGAGGCTAGCCGACCCCGCCCCCTCCCTCGCCGCCGTCGTGGCCGCCGGGGGGCGCATGCGCAGCCCATGGTAGTGATGGAGGAGAGAAGATGGCGGAAGCGGAGTGAGTTACTTGCTGGTGACTAATGTCGTAACCGGGGGGCGAGTGGGGGGCAGCGACACGTCCCCTTGAGCTCAGGGCTCTTTCGCGGGCAGTGTGGGGAAAGGGGGACGTGAGAGCTTTCTTATCGTGGAGGACCCCGCTTGGCCCTTGTGGGGAGACGGAGAACTGTAAGGGTCCAGTTACCTCCAGGCGGGAGCGCCCCTTCCGCCGTCTGTCCCCGGATTTGCGGGGCCCTGTGCGCAGGGTTGTCCCTCGGACCCCGACCGTAGGAATCTTCCGGAAGATGAGCCCGACTGGACCCCTCAGGCGCTGTCATCCCTGCAAGTGGGCCCCGCGGGCAGCCTTGTGACGGCTGCCGAGCCGGGGGCC